GGATGAACTGGAGGATTGCATGCGCCGACTGAAGCAGATCATCCAGGCGCGCGCCAGGGCTCGGAAACAGAGATTCCATATGCAAAACGACGCGTTGGTCGAAGGAATGCATGAATCTTGGCGGCGCCGCGATCTTGCCACGGTCCACAAGTTAAATTTGAGACTTGCGGGCGGCAGATATGGCAGGGGCAAACGAGATGTTTCTAGACTCCAAGGGGCCCTGCCTGCGCAGGAAGACCGGCTTGAGACTTGGCCCAAGCTTGGCGGGGCGGGGGGGGCGTCGGCGACGAGGTTGGACGTGGGCGAGTTGGGGGGGGATCGAATTAACTACTCGCGCCCGCCTGCGCCGCCAGAGTTTAGGCAGGAGCGCGCAGCGCAATGCTCTAAGGGCGCCATGGGCGGCCTAGTTTTTTTTGCCCCACCTGCGGTTAGCAACCGAGAGAAAGGGGGCCCCATCGGCGGCCGTTGCCAGTTGAGCTGCGGGGGTCGGGTGTCGGTGGGCCTTCCGAGTAGGGCCCTCGTCGCAGCGCTGGGCTCGGCTTGAAACTTCTTCCGATCTGGGGCGAAAATACTAGACGCTGGCTGCGCCGAGTTTTTCCTTGGTCTGTCAGACGGGTCTTCTTCCATGTTTATTGTCCTGCAGCTGGGGCTTCGCCCCGCAAATGCGTGCGCTTCCTGGCCCAGCGGGCCGTCGCGTTGCGCGCGGCCTGGGCCCCTTGGGAAATCTCTCTTGAAACGCAGGACGAAACGTGGCCCTCCACGCGCGCGCTCGGAGATGAGTCATGTTTTTTTTGCGGTGGCGCAGGAGGGGGGGTGCCATTGCCGCCAACCTCTGCACTTCCCGGCGTCTTAATATAGCTGGCCTATACTGGATCGACTCCTTAAGGGGACTGAGCAACGCGTTTGCCTCTCCTCTGTGGCCGGCTGTGGACGCAGCTGTTCTAGACATGGCTCGTGGATCGGAGATTCGTTTCTGCCAGCTGTGTTACGGGCTGGCCTGCACGGTGATTCCGGCTGAGGAAGGTGACCTTCTTCTGCGCACGGGCTGCGGCATGCTTCGAGGCGACCCCTTTGTCGTCGCGTCATTTGCCCGCGTATTCCGCCCGTCGGTCGACCGCCGGGTCGCGAGGTGTCGCCGGGGAGATCCCTCGGAGCAACCGCTGTCTGCAGAGTGCGACGTTCTTGCCCCAGCTAGTGCGCACTAAGGACTGACGAAGCATGCAGATGATCTATGAAACTAATGTTGGGCCCTCGCTTCCTCGCTGGAAATGGCCCGGAGTACTTTAAAACGTAACGACGATTGGCTCGATGAGGAGTTATCGCAGATAGGTCCCATGCGAAACCCGAAGAAGCAGGAGGCTTTCTTTTCTTTTCCGCCCTCGGCCAAGCGAAAATTTGCTCACCTCTTGCGGGGCGTGCAGTGCAGCTGTGGAGAATCAGTCAGATATCTGGGACCTCCGCGCAATCCTTCCAGGTGGAGCTTGGAAAGCGGAGTCAGGCTGCGAGGTCGGCTTGCATCCGCATGGGGCGTTCTCGGCCGGCGCCCGACATTCCCTATCGTTGGATGGGATGTGTGTGCCCCCCTGTCGCGCCGTGAACTCTGCCATGTCTGCTGTTGAATGTTTTTTTTGCCCAGCAAGGGCCAACTGCGCAAGTTAGAGCCCGCAATTGCAGGTTTGTGTAGACGCGCCATGAGAGGGAATGCTAGCTGGGAAGATGCGCACCATGTCCGATGTTCGTCTTCCCAGCAGGTGCTCGAACATTGGAAGATCATCCCTCTCGGGGTCGAACTTATAGCGCGCAGGCTTAAGCGGTGTCAAAGCATGCGCGCCCCCCCAGAGCCCCATCGGCAGTTCATTGGAGCGTGGTTCGGTAAGTTGTTAGGCGAGGGCGTTGTTGGCGAGTTTTGTCGAGTCGCCCAGATGCGAATCCGTGGGCTCTGAGAGTCCAGGCGGACATTGAGCTGCTGGCGCTCGCGTCCGAGGAAGCCGCGGATCTTTGGCAAGAAGTCAGAGGCAGAGTAGAACATCTGTTCCAACTCGAGTTTGCCTCTCGATTTAAACTCATCGATGTAACTATCCTTCGCAGTGCCGCGCTCGGCGCGAACATTCCGAGTGCGCTTCCTGGTGGGCCTCCAGAGGCCGCGGGATCCAGCCCTTTTTTAATTGAACGATTCCACGCGCGCCCTTGGGAGGGCCCGTCTGGCCCATGCGATGCCACTTTTAGTTGCATATCAGGCCTTGCAAATCATGCCCGCATTGTACCTAACAGCGCCAAGCTCTCGCATGCCATAACTATAATTAACCAATGTGTGATGTGCGAGGAGGTCTTTGGCGAATGACTCACCGCGTGCAAATATATAGAAGGGGCCTTACAGCATGGGCGACGTTTACGAAACAAAGCATCAACCCCCACGGAGCTCCTGGCCCCAGAGAATATCCAGCGCAGACTTTGCGTCTCAACGTTCCAGCGGCCCCCCGACTACAACAGCCACGCGAAGTCCCATATCCTGCATGTCTTCTGCGGCGCTGGACGCCGGCGCCTTCGGGGAGGGCGAGCGCCCGCCGCGGGCGGGCGTCGCTGTCGCGCCGAATCGCCCCGCCGAGGCGGGCGCCGCCAGTCGGGGGCCCCAGCCGAAGCAGGCCCAAGGCAGCGGCAACGGAGGCGGAGATGTAGACAAGACCTTGTTGCAGAAGGTCGCGGCTCTTTCGTTGGCCGCAGCTCGCGAGCAGGCCGCGGTCTCGTCTGCCGCGCTGTCGATCTTCCTCGCGCCGAGCGAATCATGCCTCGCGAAGGCGGGGCTGGCGGCCAACAAGTTTTATTCGGAGACGGTCAAAGCGCTTCACGACCGCAAAGAGAGGGGGGAGGAAGTCGACCTGTCGGCACCCAGCCCACCGTTCGTCGCAGCGTTCTTTCTCACGGCGCGCGCGGCGATGATTTAGGGCTCGGGCCAGGTGAAGGACGCAGCAGCCGTCTTCTTTCAGAAGCACCTGAAGGACGAGACGCCCCAGTACATGGCCTCGCTGGTGCGCCAGTTCACGGCAAGGTCTCCGCGGGGGCCCGGCAGCATGAGGGCGCAGGGCAATGTCAATCTGGACGCCCGAAGTGGGCACGGAGTCAATGGGTGCAATGCCCAACAGCACTTCCTGTTCATCTTGAACAGGGTTCGCTGTCCACGCCGCCGCGGCCTGCGTCCATTCGAGACAGAAGGCCGCCGGTCCCACAGCGGCCGCCGTTGGTTTGGGACAACATCTGTTGTTGGGCATTGTACCCATGTTTTCCGTGCCCATTTCGGTCGTCCAAACTCAAGCTGACGCTCGCCATCGGCCCAAACCAAGAGGCGCAGATCGTGAGCGCGCTAATGGACCTGGTGCTCGCAGACTGCAAGGTGGCGCAGCTCGCGGGCTCGGCGCCGCGCGGTCCCCTGGAGCGCTGGGTTGCAGCAGCGCTGGAGCGACAGTGATCGGTGCAGCTCGTGGGATCGGCGTTGCGCGGACCCCTGGATCGACGGATTGCAGCAGCGCAGGAGTGACAGTGATTCCAGAGGCATTCGCCACCAGCAAGCGTTTCCGATAGTCCGTCGCGAGAGGAGCGCTTGCTAGGCTAGCCAGTTTTTGTGTGGCACTCACTAAGGAGGAGGAGGAGGAGGAGGAGGAGGAGGAGGAGGAGGAGGAGGAGGAGGAGGAGGAGGAGGAGGAGGAGGAGGAGGAGGATGTTGGTCGGACTGGTCGTCGTCCTTATGGGCGGGGGAAGGAGGGATCCAAGTCCTGAAGTGCTGCTAGTACCAGCGGGGCCGACGCGTGGATGTCCACGCCGTGTCGTTCCCCGCGGTCTAGCAGTTATGTGGCCGCCGCAGGGCCACGTCAACATGCTGAGAGAGATGGCACTCACGCCGCATAGGACCTGACTTGTTGTAACCTGGGAGGTTTCGCCTCCCCTTCCTATCGTGGAAGCGTCCCGCTCGCTTCCGTTCATTTCAGTGACGCGGATTGACGCGCATCAGCAAAGACAGGCGAACTGGTCCCTAATGCTTTCGAATCGAATCGAATCCTCCTCCTCCGGCTCCGAGCGCACCCCCCTGGAAAGACCGAGTCCCGCCGCGTGCGGGCGTCCTGTGGGCTGCATCTAGTGCAGCACCTCGAAGATGGGCCAGGCTTTCAAGCCTGGAGGTAAACGTCCTTGCGCTAACCTCTGAATTGCCTTCCTCCCCCCTTTTGTGGGAGGTGCACAGACTGACTTCAACTTACTGCGGGCCCTAATGGTCCATCCCCCGCAACGACTGCACCAGCAAATGCCGTTGGTAACTTGCAAATGGGGATGGTGGGACGGGTGTAATGCCAAAACGTGGGGCCGACAGGGTTTCTTTAACCAAGTGGGCATCCTAATTTTGACACTACCTTGCTTCTTACACCTAAGACAGGCTATGTTATACTCGGGAGCCACAGGGGTAGCTAAAAGACAGTGGGAGGTATTCTGAAGGGCATCCTGGAGGGCCTGTACACTTCTAAGGGCTCTCACTCTCCTACGCTCCTCCTTCGACTCCTCGTCCTCCTGGGGGAACTGGTCCTTGAGTTCCCAGTAGTGGGTCTGGATTGCCGAGAGACGGTCGCAAATCATGTTTGCGTGGATGTCTGCCCCTTGAATCTGGCGGACCAAAGCGGGCGGTACGCTCCGTCGACGGGCATCGCAACTGGCAATGTCATCCACTTGCTCATTCATGTAGAGCGTCCAGGGCGGCTCGTTGGCTGCCTCCTCCTCCGTCGGGTGACTTTTGACCTTCTGGAAAAATAGCTGCGCGGCACGGGCTGATGCATACGTCCAGAACTTCTTCCAAGCCAGGGGGTTACGAGCGAGTCGGGCCCTGGGCTCCTCCTCCGGCTCCTCCTCCTCCTCCTCCTCCTCCTCCTCCTCCTCCCCCTCCTCCCTTCCCTTCTCCTCCCTCCTCCGCTTCCGACGACGACGGCGACGAGGAGTTCGAGAGCATCAGTGCCTCCTGCGCCATGGGAAGCAACGCCTACATCGTCAAGTATCTGCTCATGCTGGCGGTGGTTCCTGTTTCCGTCGCGATGCGCATCCTCGGAGCGTTCGCGTGCAGATTCGTTGCTGAGCTGCGCGGGGCCGCGCACTTCAACTGGCCGGCCCTGCTGAACTCGATGGGGTTCGTTATGTCCATGCTTTTTCATCGCAGTGGGCATGGCAGCCCTGGAAGGCCCCAGGTGCGCAGCGAATCCCAATGGCAGGTGGGCCCTGCTGGCGCGCACCTCGGCCATCTACTTTGAGGGCGGCGAACGTGCGTCAATCATGGCGGTGATCGTGCTCGCTGTCATGAGTTGCCCTGTGTTTTTCCTCGCGCTCATTCTGTGGATCAGCACCGACTGCGCGCGGCTCTCGGTCAATCATGGGGTTCGGTTCGCTGTCGCGGCTCGCTTCCTGACGCTCAAGGTTCGGCGTGAGCACCTCCTGTTCGCTTTCGCGCGGAACTGCGGGGGCTTCCTGATATCGCTGTTGCCGATCCTCGCCAGCGGTGAGTATCAGATCCAGGTCGGCCTGCTCATGGCAACATTCACCTGCCGGTTGTGCTTGCAGACCTATTATAACTGCTGGCGGTTCAGGGTGTTCAACATCGTGGGCCCCGTCATGTGTGTGTGTGGGCGCGCGATGTTGCTGCTCTTCGGGTTCGCGATGCACGTTGCCAAAAGGCAGAGCAGCGTCAGCGAAACTTCCATCGGCGTCTATATTGTGCTCGTTGATGTTATCACCTTGTTGGTCTTGATCGCAGCGGCAGGGTGCAGTCTTGCGTCGCATCTGTTCAGCAATGCGAGCGACAGCGTCTTCATCACACATCAGGGAGAAGAAGAGAGGAGGAGCAGGAGGAGGAGGAGGAGGACCAGTGGAAACCCAAGAGTCATCAACGATGTTGGAGTTAACCCTCCCTCCATGCTCCCTCTTCATAGTCCCCCTACAACGGTTCATTTCCATTCTGGGAACAGCCTCGCTGGATGACAACAGTTCGAAGATCCTGAAGCGTGCCAAAACATTGTTTTCTGGATTTCAACGCCACGTATCAACCTGATTGCTGCGTCTTGACGATCCATAATCGGGCCAGAACTCCAGTTTTGGGATTTCAACACAGCGAATCAATAATAGTTGCGCCCGCATAATCCTGAATCTTTACAAAACACCATTTCTGGTACGCTGATCATGGGAATCCGTGAAACCCTTGCACCTTTTTAGAACGAATGTGCGCGGCACTAGGGCGAGAACCACATGTTGAAAAGGAACCGCCCTCAATCCGTGAAGTTCTTTCAAATTTGTAAGACGGAACGTGCACAGCGCCAAAGCGAGAGCCACATTTTGTAAACGACCCGCCCTCAATCCGTGAAGTTCTTGCAATTGTTACACGAATGTGCACAGCGGTAAGGCGAGAGCCACATTTTGGAAACGACCCGCCCTTAGTCCGTGAAACTCTTGCAGATTTTGAAAACGAAAGTGCGCAGTGGTAAGGCGAGAGCCACATTTTGTAAACGAGCCGCCCTCATTCCGTGAAGCTTTTGCAATGATTTAAAACGAATGCGCGCGGCGCTAAGGCGAGAGCCACATTTTGAAAGCGACCCGCCCTCCATCTGCGAAACTGTTCACTTTTCAAGCTTCAGAGTCATAAGTGGTGAGGAGGTCTCAGGCGAAACGCCCGGCCCGCCGTAAAAACTGGACTCGGGGTGTGACAGGGAGGAGTTATTTGTAAAGAGAAGGAATGGAGGAGGAGGAGGAGGAGGAGGAGGAGGAGGAGGAGGAGGAGGAGGAGGAGGAGGAGGAGGAGGAGGAGGAGGAGGGGTGGGCGAAAGGCCAGTGCAATTACGCCCGGGCTCGCCCTTGTCCTGGAGCGCCCCTGGTGCGAGCTGGAGGTCGCCGTCGCCCATGTGAACGACGACGCTGTCGCTCTAGCCCAAGAGAACTTCGAAAAGGGTCGTTAGCTCCGTCTCGGCGGATGGTTGGCCGGCATTGCCCCAGAACGGCATAGCGAAGGATTTGTTGGCCTCGGCGCTGGGCGCTCTAGCGAAGATTCCGAAAATCATCTGCCCGCTGCGGGCGTCGAACACTGAGCTCCTGGACCCGTGCGTTCGCGACGTGCTTGCCGCCGGCGCCGCGAGAATCATGAGGCGCGCGCGCTCGCGGCTGACCCAGATACGGTTGTGCACATCGTCTACAGCACGAGCGGCGACGTGCAGTGCAGCGTCGCCGATGTCATCTCCCATGCCTTCAAGCAGAGCCACTGGGGCGTGAAGCTGCGCGGCCGCGGTGACGCGGCGCTGGGCGGCGCGCGTGCGGCGCGACCCGGGGGAGCGGAGCCGCGCCGCCGTGCTGGGGCACCCCCACAGGCCCGACGCGGCCCGACTGCCAGAGGGGGGCGATCGCTGCCCTGCAGAAGCAAGGGGGGCCCTCCTGCGGCTCTCTTGTAGCGTTGCCGTCTTGGGGCCACAGTGAACCGTCCTGATGGCCATCCTACCGGGATGCTGAGACCCGAGTGGGGAGCTTGTGCGGGCTGGGATACATGTTGGAGGCCGTCTTGGCCGTCCTGGGGGCTGTACTGGGCGGCCCAGAATCGGCAAGGCCACAGTGTGTGGTGGGGCATCGCGTTCCTCGCCGTCCTCGGCCAGGAGGCGCTGCGGCAGCCCGGCGCCGCGCTCTTCGGCGCGCGCTGTGCTGCGGCAGCGGCTCCGCCCCGGAGGCCGCGGGCCTCGAAGAGGCGGGGCGCCTGTCGCCTGGGGCCTCGGGTCCTCCTCCTCCTCCTCCTCCTCCTCCTCCTCCTCCTCCTCCTCCTCTTTCTCCTCCTCCTCCTCATCTCCTCCTCCTCCTCCTCCTCCTCCTCCTCGGAGATAGCGCGGAGGCCCTCGCACCCGTCTGCACGCAGATTGCCTTGGGTTTCGCCCCCGAGAAAAAGGAGAGGATGTGGCGCGAAGAATTCCGCTTCATCGAACAGCGCGCGGACTTTCCCTTCGCGAGCGCCGAATAAGTCGAGGCAGTCGGGGAGTCAAGCTGTCGAATCGGCTGGTGAGGTGTCGGACCTGAAGCTCTGAGTGCATGTGCCGAGCAGTTCGGTGGGAAGCTGCAACTTTATGTCCAGCTGCCTGCGGCAAGTGGCGAGTCTCTCCACCGTGCCAGCTCAACACTCCGAGCGGCGACCCTTCCCCATCTGCCCCCTCCCCTCCCCTCCTCTCCACTCTCCCCTCCCCCGTGTTGCACACAGTTTCCCAAGCAGCGGGTCATTGGCACCAAGTTTTCGGGTGATTGCACCCTTTCTCGCCTTGCCATGCCGCATGCTTTTTCGACAGCTGTTCCCGCGTGCGTGAGTTCGTACAGTGCCGTTTTTAATAAAGAGGGATCATGTATTAAAAGTGCAGGGAATTAGCACAAACAAGAACGATGAGTTCATGCATAACTTCATTCATAACTTAATCATGCATAAAACAACTTATATGCTTAAACGTTCTATGTAATAAAAACTGCCCTGTAGCTCCTTGAACCGCTTTTTGTTATTCACTAGCATTCAGGAGCTGGTCGCCCGTGTCCTCCCTCCATCCTGCCTTCCACACTCGCCTTGGCAGTCCTCCTTCAACCCCACCTTCCCCCTCCTCCTCCTCCTCCTCCCCCCTCCTCCTCCTGCTCCTCCTCCCCTCCTCCTCCTCCTCCCCTCCTCCTACCTCTCCTCCTCCTCCTCATCCTCCTCCCCCCTCCCCCTCCTCCTCCTCCTCCTCCTCCTCCTCCTCCTCCTCCTCATCCTCCTCCCCCCTCCCCCTCCTCCTCCTCCTCCTCCTCCTCTTCCTCCTCTTCCTCCTCATCCTCGTCCTCTTATTCCGCGCTACGCAGGTAGTGCGAAGTGGTCCCGCGTGGCTGCTCGTGCCAGAGTAGGTTGCCAGCCATGGCACTGCCTCTGACTGGAGTGGGAGCGCGTGGGAGACTGCGAGCATGGGAAGCAACCGCGGCCCATCTTTGCTCAAATCGATTGAATCGGGTGAGGAACGACCTGTTTTCAGCTTGGCACGCGTGGCCCGCCAGGACTCTGCCACCATCTGGAAGTTGCCTTGCTCGGCTAAGCGCTCTGTGGCCGTCGCCGTTGTCGTCGTCGTCTTTGTCGTCGTCGTCGTCGCCGTCGTCGTCGATCGGCGATCGTCGATTGTAGGAGGAGGAGGAGGAGGAGGAGGAGGAGGAGGAGGAGGAGGAGGAGAGAAGGGCGCCCCGTTCAGGCGCCGCCCGCCGCCAGGGAGCCCCCCGCGCCCCCCCTGTTCGAGCAGTGGCTGGCGAGCCTGAAGTTCTTGACCGGCTGGAACGACCAGAAGACGCACACGCACGTGGAGGCCGAGCCCAGAGCCCCAAACGCATTGGCAAGCTCAGAACAGGCGTCACCCTAACTTTTTTGGTCTGCGGGTCGAGAGCGAGCCTCTTCCGGTTAAGAGCTAGGCGGGCCGCGCAAAGCACTAGTTGGGGAGACAGGGCGCGGGCGGGCGGGCCCAAAGTTAAGTCGGGCCTGTCCCCCTACAGGGGGATTTTCGACGAAAAATGAAAAATACCCCAAAAATACCACCCAAAATAGTCCAAAAATATAGTCTGGGGACTATTTTTTGAGTATTGTTTGACCTTTTGGGGTTTTTTGGGTTTTTTTTTCGTCGAAAATCCCCCTGTAGGGGGACAGGCCCGACTTAAGCCCAGAGCCCCAACGCATTGGCAAGCTCAGAACCGGCGTCACCCTAACATACCAATGCTATGTGTGGGGCGCCCCCCCCCCCCCCGGGGCGACTATATGCGTCGTGGCGGGCGCTTTCTGGCCACACCGCTCGGGAAACAACATACTACAATACTGGTATACCATATGTTCGGGTCGGACGCGCGCCTCCAAGGAGAACACATAGTACTGGTATGTCTTTGCGCATCCCATCAGAACGGCCGTGTCTTGCCGCTTTCGGACTGGGGCCCTCGGGGGGCTCCGGGGCCGTCCAAAAAAAAGATTCGGGGCGGCAACCCGTCCGCGGGAAGGAGATGGAGGGAGTCGAGATTTGAGGGGGCCCCGTACACGCACGCTGAGGCATTTCGGCACAAGGAAGCCTAGATATCCATCCGTTGCAATTCTTCCACACTGGGCATTTTTGCTCGGCGGCTTCGAGCCTTGGGACCCTCACAGCTCGATCCGGCTCGAAAAATGCCGCAGGAAGATTGGGTCCAGGGCACCGGTCGAGTTCTTGTTCGCGATGTTGTTTTTTCCGCAACGTCGGGTCTCAAGACTCAGACATCCAAAGGATGTTTTGTCGTTACTGGGCGTTTTCCCTTCATGCCATCAGGATTGGGTCGGGGACGACGCATTGTTCCTGGGGAAGGGGTCGAGATGGGGCGCGGTATGAAAAACTCACGTCGTGGGATGTCTGGGGGCGGGGGGGTCAGCGCTTTAGGGCTCCTGGGTCCCCGAGGGGTCACAGTGAGCCTCTCATCCTCTGCCTCCTCTTCCCCCGTGTGGCGCAAGCAGGTTGGCGCGGGTGGTGGCCGCACTGGCGGCGGCTGGCGAGCGCGCGCAGCAGGTGACGCTTACTTTCGAGCCCCGATCACCACCCGGGCAAGTGCTGGCAGTGTCCGCGCCCTCGCCTAGGCCCTTCGTTCCTCCTCCTCCTCCTCCTCCTCCTCCTCCTCCTCCTCCTCCTCCTCCTCCTCCTCCTCCGCTATCCTTCGTCATCCTTCGGTCCTCTTCGTTGCTGCCTATCCTTCGCTATCCTTCGTTATCCTTTGTTATTCCTTCGTGATTCTTCGTTATCCTTCGTTGTCCTTCGTTTCTTTGGTGCCCTGCA